TGACGCCATCAAAGAGAGGGGAGGAGGATTAAAAGATTGGACACTGTATTCGAAAGCATAGACAAACTTGGCGTCCACAAAAATCAAATTGGACTGACATGTAGGAACTTTGCGGTCAACCGTCAGGGATGGATAGCAGTTCGAGACATTGAAGAATTTGCCCTATCTTCAAAGTAAAGTACGTATTCAGTATCCCTAACCATTGTCTAGATTGATCACGAAGGCCCCGACATAAAAACCATATGCGAATTACGTAAGTTCCTTAGTTAGTGATCTGATAATACCATACCAAGCTTTAGGTTGACAACCCTTGCCTTCACTCCATTCACCATCAGCCTGGGGAAAAACCACACGCCGAGAGAACCTACTTGGTGATATACGCAACAAATACCCAGTCGTGGAAATCTATACATGTTTTAGTACGTGACCGTCACAACCTGCTACCCTAACCCCGACACTCCTTATCGGGGGGGGGGCATAGCTGTTTTGCTTTGGGAAAGGCTTTGCGTATGGGTGCTTAAAATCTAACTGAGATTCGTTTGCTAAGAAAGATGTCGTTCACTAGGTAGCAAAATTTTTCTACTCTGACCAGTCTAAGATGTTACGAGGTAGACTAACCAAATCTAGTGAGAAAACTTTCCAATTTGACGATGATCAAGAAATCGCTCCCGGATCAATACAATCAACTGTCTGAATGCCTTCAAGTTGCACACAAGGAAAAGATACTTGTAATCACGCCCACGACAAACGCAACCACTCATGGTATGATCGACTGAGGATATGCCCTGCAGACAGCAAAAGGCTCACGTCGTGAAACGAATAATCCAGACAGAAGCTAATCGCAAACCCTTGACGAGACAAAAACTTGAATAAAACAGTGCGAGCAGCTCAGTCTAGAAAAAAAATGACGAATGTACAAAACAGTTATATCAACACTTGTGCACTGCTAAACGTAAGACAGCATTAGTAACTAGCACCCTAGATGGGTGAATAGTAGATAGTTTTCGGTTCACTTGTGGAGAAAATTAATTCATTAGAAAGGGTGAACACTGACAGAACCATATAGATACTCAAGACGCACCTCCAGTTGTCGGAGCACCCACATTGGAAGAATATTGAGTGGGTCTACTTGGTGGTCTTTTTTGATGATGCGCATGAGAACCTGACGAGGCTTGTTGAATGGAGCGACTTGTGTGACTAGATCCACTTCCTGAAACCGAAACGCTGACTGTCGGTCCACCCGGGTTTCCCATTGGGCCCAAAGAGAATGTAGGCGAAACAGTGGATGGTTTCGCCCCACTAGCCAGCGCCTGCGCATACGGACCGCCTTGAATTCCACCAGAACGTTGAAGTTGTTGCTGTTGTTGTTGTTGTTGCTGCTGCTGCTGCTGTTGTTGTTGTTGCTGCTGATGGTAGACTGCAGCAAGGGCGCTCAGCTGAGGAGCTGTCAACTGACCACACAACTGTGCGGCAAATAATTCCTCCTGTGAAATTGTTCCTTGGATAAAGTAAACATGAGTGTGAAAAATCGCCAGAATCCAATCGATCGCAAGTATTAAAAATTAAAACAGTTTTCGAGAAATGCTACAACCATAAAAAGTGATATTTTCGGGTATTCAATTACCACAAAGTGTGATATCATGGGAATATTAATCCGAGACTAGGTACGTTTTGCTGCCTCTTCGACTGGTTATAAGTTGCACTTGAGGAATGACCAAACCGAATGAACAGGTCAGAATAAACACAACTGATATGTATTAAGGCTACAGGAATATGAATAGCGATTACTGAGTGGGAAATCATCAAATTAGAAACCGATATTTCTCAATTCGCTGGGTGAACAGCAACGGGTGTCTCGAGGTGATTTGGAATTCTCCCCGAAGTTGAGTAAATCTAGACTTGGCTTCATTTGACAACCACGTTCAGCCACAAAACTCAGACGGTTGGCCTCATATACTTCAACGGCTATCAAGTACTTTCAGTCCTGTCTATTTTATATAATGATCCAGCCCATTAGGAAGGCGCTCTGCCCTCGGGTTAAGCAGAGCTGAATGCTACCAGGCGCATCCGTGGGTTGTGGATAGGGGGATACCTTCACCGGAGAAGGTTAGCTGTGAATAAGTTGTGACACCGCAACAAACAAACAGCGGCGTACTATCAGGGTGTGGTGGGTTTCAGGCTGGTCACCTGACTTCTGTTCAAAAGCCGCATAGTTATTGCCGACGACCCGAAGTGGGGAACAACATGAGGCCCCACCAGCACAAGTGCGGCACTGAGACGGGCGACAGTAAAGGCCACTACCACCAAAGTGGATTAGTGGTGACATGGTTCGAACCTCGGACCCTAGGGCTCAAAGCACACCAGTAACGGTGACTCAAACTGCTTGGTCGCAACCACCCTCAGTGTAGAGAACAAAGGAAACTTCTCCAGTGGTTCAACTAAAGCTCTCCTTTATACCTTGCACCACCAAATACTCCCCACAGCATAGATCGACCTATGTTGACGGCCTGATGTATGGGAGCGGGTTCAAAGGTGAAACTGTCAGTTCTAATTGCCGCTGTGCATAAAAGAATCAATTTAGATCAGCCAGTCTACCAGAACTAGTTTTCACATACTACAACTCTTATCTCTCGCCAAGCGTCAGCGCTTTTGCAAGTCAACAGGTGGT